GACTGAATCTACAACTTAGATATAGTCAAGGAGTAATAAAAGATTTTGACCTATAAATAAATATCAGTATCTTTGGGCATGTTCTCTATTGTGACTTACCCAATGCGTGCCAAGAGATAAAGCCACTGCTTTAGCTCTGATTCTGGAAGCAAATATCTCTGGAAGAAGAAGAGCAGGCACAGGACCAGCACCAAGCGAAAATGATAAAACATAGCTGTGCGAAAGAAATTGAAGCCGGTTTAGATCTCACAAGCCAATAGGAGGTGACAACAATTGCAGGCATCAAAATAGGAAGAAACACTGAAGGGATTCATTAATTGTATAAAAAGCGTCAACTCACAGAACAGTTCCAACAACGGCTAGTGTGCCAGAATAGGGAGCCAAGACCTTCCAGGTGAAGGATAAAGAAAGCAGTAACATTGAAGCAGCCTTCACGAGCCAAAAGGAAGACAGGAAAATAAGACAAGTAGTTCATTAGTTAAAAGAGAATCAGATGAGAAAATTATCATATCATTGTGTAATAAATGATAAGAAAGGACATCACATGGTGATGGAAGAAGCAAGTCTAATAAACTTTTCAGGGTTAATAACTTCTGTAATTCCTCTCAACCAACTAATATTCCTATCATGTTATAACATTTAGAGCCATGCACATTGGAAGAAATAATACCAATAATAAACAAGTGAAATATCTCAATCCCATACATGGGTGTTATTCAACCATAGGAAAGTCAAACAAAATGCTACTTACAACCCTTGCTCATAAAAACACTGTTCATCCAAAGCATAGTATTTTTATTATTTTGTGAAAAGTACAATCCATTCAAGCATCCATGAAATCAAAGGAAAAACCTAGGCTACAGATGCAAGATGAATGCTGACCAAGGGGGTCGTTTTACGGGCAAGCAAATGTTAATTGTTTTATAGTTTGCATAAACTACTCTTTTGCTGAAACCACCTGGGAACTATCTTAAGATAAGCAAGTTAAAGAGAAATGTTCTCTGATAAGGCATTGCAAGCAATATTGAGGACCATAAATGAATAAGATACTATAATCTCAGTGAGCTATGGTTTTGAGACCATAGAGACAAAGGAATATAAACAGGGTGTTTCAACAACTCAATCTTTCAATGCAATTTAGTTGAAAAAAAGAACAGCTCGATATACCTAGTCCATACCTACTACCTAGACCATTGAAACGTCACCTGAGCTTAAACCGCTGCAAGTGGAACCACTTCGGATGCAAAGATTGCGATTCAAAGTTAAACTCCGCTGCCTAACTTCACTAAAGCTAGTTAAAACTCTCCGTTTTGGAATCTCAAAGCCTAAATTTCCTTTGACTAACAGCGTTGACGCCAGCATTCTGAATTACCTGATTCACAACTAAAATAAACAACCAACAAATGAAAAAAATAAAAAGATAAAAGAAATTAAAATCAAGAAACTAAAGAACAGAAGAATATTTGAAGAACGGAATCACTGAGGAGCGAGAGCGAGATTTACCGAGTACGAAAGCGGAGCTGAGAGAGTGAAAGGATGAGTCAGATGGCTCTGTTTGGCTGATGACAACAGCTTCGGAAAATTTGTTTAAGAGACAACGAGAAACGGTTTGCTCACTAAAAAGCTTATATTCTAGATCACTTTTCGTTATTTTTTAGTCTAATTCCTTTCTCAATTTTATAAAGTATATGAATTGAACTCTAATAAATTGGGAATTCTAAGGAACGGTAGATTGCTAAATAGGAAATTTCAATTTCTCCAATTTTATAACATAAAGAAGCAAAATTCATAATTAGACTTTGATGTATAAAATTATATCAATTGCATACATAAAGGAACTGTGGTTGCTTTTAAAAGTCACGGGTTCGAGCATCAGCGACTGCAACAGGGTGATTGACATTTTATAAGTTCTAATGATATTTTCTCGAAGAATTTAAATAGACAAACATTTCTTTTTCTCTCATTCCCAAATTTTAGGAATAATCAATTTTTTAGGGTTTTCACTTAATGGGATACGCTTTCTTTTTAAGATCATCAAAAGCGACCTTCTCATACGTTAAGACAGCCACTTCACAACGACCTTAAAATAAAAGGGTATTGCTCTTAGTTCAATTATTTGAACCGAGTCGATTGATGCTTACGGGGGTATCATACATATTATGTGAAATGAGGACATGTGGAAGTTTTATATGCAAATAAATGCACATCAAAGAAACACATAAAATATGTAAAGTGGATGAAAAATATGTGCATACTCGTACATTTAGTCATTTAACAAAGGACCACATAATACATTAAAATCATAAATGTGGTTTGCCATACATTTTGATTTATATGCAAATATAACCCAATAATATATATAACATACCAAATGTGTCATTTTGATTTATATGTAACATGCGCTAGTGTATATTTTCACATACATAACATATGTACAATAGAAATCTAACATGATGACTAAAGTGAACAAACAACAAATATGGCAGCCTTAAAATGGAAATAATGGTGATTAAGTGGATTTAACTAACATGTGACCAAATTATAAAAAGTAGCAATTCTAAGGACATAACAACAAGTTTAAAAAACATAGGTCATTAGGCACGGGGGACATACGACTGTTGCAGGAGTGGGCATGTGAGGTTGCTGGAACGATGTGCGTGCATCTCATGTGCGAGATCTGGACAATTGGCGTCTTAGGTGTAGTTAGGCTGTTGGATCGTTGATTGGATCTAACGGTTAACATCATACGATGGCGACAGTAGATGATCTTAGGGTTAACCCTAATTTTGAGCGCCAATCTCAACTGTTGGATCCTTATCGCATCCGAAGGAAGCTAAAGGCTTGATGTGGCTAGGGTTTCTCCAAACCCTAAACATCTAGGTTGCTATTAGCTCGGGCCTTGGCTGCTGTTGGGCCTCCAACTTGTTTGTAACAAATGGACTTATTAATGAAATTGATAGGAATTGATCCCTTGTAAAGTCCATTAATATTTTATGTATATATGTTCAATTTAATTATTTATAATATATGTATTTATACGTATATAATATAAACACACACATATGTGATATCTATTTATATGCTTATGATAAATATCACACACACAACCATATAAAACCATATATAATGTATACTCCTGGTTATATTATAATATAATATATATATAATATAATATAATATAATATAATAATATAATATAAATAATATAATATAATATAATAAATATATAATATAATATAATATAATATATATAATATAATATAATATAATATAATATAATATAATATAATATAATATAATATAATATAATATAATATAATATAATATAATATATACACACACAAATGCATGTGTAACCAATAATGATAATTAACCCATATAATTAAACACATATATATTCACATAACTAATAATAATATAATATAATATAATATATATACTTATATAATATGCACCCTACATATAACTAAATAACTAGCCCAATATTTTTTTGCATTTTAACTAATTAATAACATAAATGAATTTAGATGTATCCCCAGACAAAATAAGTACCTACAATACATATATTTAAAATTTACTTGTATAGCATCAGATGAATCGAAACCACTAAATAATGAAAACGGATGGAACGGACCGACATAAGCTTGTCGATCAGTTGTGCATTATATGGCAAGAGCCAATTAACAAGTAATGCCACCTAACCAAAGGCAAGCTTAGGTGTACCTTTGATTATGTCTTTTGGCTTCTTACATGTAAGGTAAATTATTTGATCAATGATTTAACTAGCCAATACAAATGCTTCATATATTGCCGACTTATTTAATAATTTTCATGACCTTATCTGCATATATTAGCAACTCATGAATTATAACATAAGATATTTCTTAGATCTTTATGTGTGCGTAACAACCATCCAACGATCCCGATAAGCTGGATTAGAACGTGTGGTCATTTTTAAACATTTATATTATAGTTTTTAAAATTTAAATTCAAATGATTTTAAATTTGGTTGAATGGTATTGAGAATAAATTGTATTAGAAATATTTTAAAAATTTTATTAACAAAAACTCTAATTATATACAATTTGGAATTGAATTAAAAAAATCCAATATCCTTGTTAACTAAATTCAATTTAAAATTAATTAAGTTTATTTTAAATACAAATAATTAAAATCTTTTAAAAGAAGAACCAGATCGCTGAAGTTGTTTTTACTTACCATTTTCTTCCTTTAAAAAATTTATTCAATTTTAGTTTTCTTTTACAATTTTTCATCTTTTTTTGGTTTCAAACTTTAATCAAATATCAATTTTTAGGGTAAACTACATTAGATACCACCGAACTTTAGGCATTGTATCGTTTAAACCATTACTTTAAATGTTGCTAATTATAACACTGAACTTTGATTTTCGTTTCAATTATACCACTAAAATTTTAAATCGTTAACGACACGGTGACTTGACTGATGGATTTTGATGTAGAGACCTCACCAAAATTATGTAGTTTTGATCCGACTATTAACAATTTAACAAATGAATAAACTATTTTTATAGTCATAAACTACGGGATCTATTCTATTTGAGCATTGAATAAAGACATTTGTCAATTAGGTCATTGAACTTTTAATTTTGTTTCGATCAAACCACCAATCATTAATTGTTAATAAATTTACTGAAATGAGAGATAAAATATAAGAATACATTAAATTTCCGTTACTTATATGTTATACTTATTTAATCCTAAATTTAATTATAATTCATTTAAAAAATTCAATCCTTCAACTAAAATGAAAATAATATGAAGTTTCAAGAAAACAAGGATACAAATAAAGGGATTAGAACAAGGATACAAATAATATGAAGTTTCAAGAAGACAAGGATACAAATAAAGGGATATAAATAAAGCACGGTACCTGTCATTTTGTTTTCCCAAAGCAGTTTTCCATGACACCATGTCCCCTCCCATCCATTGACATTTCGAATAAGCTTTTTTGTCTTCTTCAATTTAACACCATTCTCAAATGGTTAATTATCAATCATTTCCTCTTGCAATGGTGTTTCTTAGCTTTCCCATTGAAGAAGATTGAACTCAAACCAAACAAATTTGCAGAAGGAACATTGAGAACCACGGGATTAACATGAACACCGTAAGGCTTATGAGCACCACTGGTCTTCTTCAATGGAGGTTTTTGATAGTTTGTTGAAGTGCTTTTATGTGGATTGATCTGCTTAGGGTTATTGGAAGGGTGTTTAGGGTTTGGTTTCGAGCCTGTTGAATTGCTTCTTGACAGAAGTGGTAAAGAACATAAGCTTCTGCCATAACCGCTTCCACAAGTGAAGCTTCTACTCCTTTTGAAACCCCAGAACGACGACGACTTTGAACTGCTTTGCTTTTGATAATCTTCTTTTCGGCTCTCTTTCGTGGAAGTGATGTCAACGTCATCGTGAGGCGGCGGCGGAAACGGAGGAAGCGGAGACTGGTGGTCAGTTTGTTTGGAGGGAATGTTGTTTTTCTTGATGTCTGTAGGAAGGATTTTGCCGCCGGAGAAAAGTTCATCGGCTGATGATGACGGTAGTTGCTGTCCGAGGCTTTCGCCGACGCAGAAATCGAAATCGATGCTTGAATTCAAGGACGAAGGTTTTGATGATCTGAGGGGACGTTGATCGACAGGCACTTCATCGAAATGACAAAGATCGAGAGAAAATGAAATCCTGGGACTCATACCAGAGTTGTCTGAGCAAAGTTCTACTGCCATTTTTGTTTTGTAACTTTTCCAAAGCAAAATCAATCATCCAAATGCAGAAAGTCTGAAACAGCAAATACCATATGGTTATAAATAAGAAAAATTGCATTAAAACATGAAAAAAAAATCAAAATTTATAGGGAGAAATTGATAATGAACACTCAATTATCATGTTGCATCGTTAGTGCTTGATTCTTTCACACAAAAGACAGTCTATCTCAATTAATTGGTCCAACAATAAATTACAACTAATGAGGTTATTATGGATAGTTTTAATATAGGGTTATAGGTTTATTAATTTCTAGAGGGACTGAAAATATTTTAATTTTTAGAGTCAAGGCCTCTATTTGTGGAACATGTTGAGTCAATGAATCCACCAAGATACAATTATCCAAACCACACACACAAACATTGACTAAGACTTCCTATTTTTTTAATAGAAGACTTTCTATTCTTAAATTAAAGAATAAATTATCTATTTTGTCAATTATCTATTATTTAATATTTGTTTTGATTATTTAATTATTAATTTTTTAAAAATATATTTAATATTTAATTTTAGTTTTATTTTAATCACACGTAACTAAAAAGTATTAACAAAAATTCTAATGTGGTCAAATAAATAATTTACCCTAAATTAAATATGAATTGCCTATTACCTTTACATCAACCAAGAAAGTTCATTGGATCTAGATGAGCATAGACCATAGTCCACTACAAAACTCCAACGTCTCAAAAATCTTTGAATTTGTTGTTTCAAAAGTTTTTGTCACGCAAAGTAAACTTTTAATAATCAATATAACTATCCAAATAAATAAAAAAATAATTGTTCCATCCATTTATAATTATTTTTATCAGTCCATATAATAATAATAATAATTCATAAATAAATGTATGAAAGAAAAGAAAAAAAGATAATGCCAGACAAAAGAATGATAATGTTTTTGTTCTGTTCTTTGCCCTAATCATTCTTAGGTTGTCTGGTCCCTCCATCTGCATTCTCCATTTCACGATAATAGTGCAGCTCCTACGAAGGCTCTCCATTGCTTTACAGTAATTGAAAACAACACTGCACTGCGGTTGTTTTCCCACTTTATTTTGATAATAATTTTTTAATCCATGTCGATAATATTTTTTTTTTCAATTATGATTTTCTTTTTTAAATTTGAGAATATTTTTATTAATAGAAAAGTGATTTTTCACCTCATAAGCAATGTTAAATATTAAAAAAAATTATGATTGGAAATGTAATTTTCAAGATAATCTCAATAACTCAAATTTCTAGATTTTGTCGAAGAAAATTATTTTTTGGTGAAATTATATTTTTGTACTTAAATACTATATTTTTAATTTATAACATAATATTTAAAATGAACATTTTATTTTTTTAAATCAATTTTTTACATTAATCTCAAACAGTTAAATTTTAAACTATATTTAAAAAAATAAAAATAGTTTTTTCCAACATTTTTTTAAATCACTTTTTTAAAAATAACATCCAACCGAGCCTTAATATCAATAATTAATATTATTATTCGATTTTTATAAAGTACGAATATCAGATTTTGCGATCAATGCCTCATTTCCCCCATATGCTTTCATTACTTTTATTGTCGGCTCTAAAAGGTTTGTCGTCACTGTACAAAATAATTTCTAAATCGAGTATTAATTAAATATTTTATCGGGAAAAGAAAAAACAACTAGAAAACAATGATCACCTTACTTGATATAACATCACTTTTCTTGTTAAATTATTGATATCCCTCGCTTGATAAATTAGCGATCAAAACCCTATTTTTATTAACTTGGAAACTTCATTTTCCTTTCTTGAAAGCAACTAACCAAATATTAGTTTGGCGTGTATCACTCGACTTATAAAAGAATTTTTTTTAATAGAATCTTGAGCCTAATCTCTCTTGTCGTAATGAAGGATTATAAGATTGTATGTGTTAAAAAAAAATTAGTTCATTGACCATAAACGCGTACATACACTTGCATACGTAACTACTCGAATTCTAAATTTTTATTTTTTAAAATTAAATTAATTAAATTCGAGCCAACAAATTATTTTATCATATCTATTTTTGTAATCAAATTGCCATGCCTACATTAAAAATGAAAAAGAGATTTTTTAAAGAAAGGGCCGTTTCTTTATCAATTATTGAAAGAGAAAAGACGGGGATGGGATAAGGAATAAGCCCAAGCCCCACCACATTCCCTACAACTATTACAAGTTCTAGAGCATGAGATAATAAGAACCGCAATGATGCCACCTGTTTTCTCAATACAGGCGAAAAAGAAATATACAATGTGTTTTTTTACTACCAAAAAAACACCATAATTTTTGACACGGAAACCACAAAATTATAAATTTGAGTATGCTTAAATGTAATTTATTTTACCAAAGAGTTGAAAAACAATTAATAATTAAACATCGGGTAAAAATTATTATAATTAAAATTTAAAATTTACACAACCCATCTAAACAAAACTTTGAATTCTAAAGTGAGTTACTCATGTACCCGATTTCTCTCTAACTTTAGTTTCATATTCTCTTTTGGTGTTTTCTCACATGGCAAGTGACCAAACATAGAAAAGTAGAACAAATTTTCATGAAAAAAGGATTGGGCCATTGCTATTTCAATCTTATTATCAATTGGTCAATATGAAAGAAATGGGCAAAAGGAAGATAAAGGGGGAGTAGTGGCCCATTGTTGACAATTATATTACAACTAAAACCATTGTTTATTGTGAATGTGACAATAACAGATATTATTAAGTATCATAATTATAAAATAATAGATTCAAATAATACGTTTATCATTATATAACAACGGTTATTCTAATAACCTTCTATTAGTAGGAAAAATTATATATATAGTCTCTCTATTATATAACACATTTTAATTGATTATAAAAATTATAAATTGATCATGTGTCAGTTAATAAATTAATATAATATTAAATTTAATAATTAATGTTGATATTTTATTTTAATTTACTTTAAAAAATAATGATTAATATTTAAGTTTTATATAAAATTTAAGTTCTATTAATCCATTTTCAGTCATTATCACTCAATATTCACATACGAATTTTTTTGCCTTAATTTATTTTTAAAATAATATTCTTCTTATATTTTTATATAATAAAAGATTACAATAAAGTGATTAACAACTCTTTGTTTCTCTTCCACTGTTATATTACATTAATTAATTTAAAATTGTATATAAAAATATAAGAGTAAATTAGGAAAAACGAAGATATTATTAGAAAAGAAAAAAGAAATTCAATATACACTGATTCCATATTTCCATTTGAGAGTTCCAAGGTATTCAATTAGAAATATTTTAATTAGAAAAACGAGTAGTGATGAGTACAACTAATGATAAACACCATTAATTTAATTTATAAAAAATTAAATTCTAAACGACTCAACGTATAATTATAAATTAGTTAAAAATTTAAAGATAAATTATTTAAAATAAAGAATAAACTATATCAGTTACCACCTAACTATTGCAACTGAGAAAATTAACATAAAATGATTACCCAATCATTTTTTTTGATATTGAATCAATTAAGTTAAATTTGAATATTAAAATATTTTATAGTATCTTGAACTTGGTTCAAAATATCTGTAGATTTTAAAACGTTAATAAGCATGTGTTTTATTTTTTATTTTGAAAGAAACATAAGCATGTGTTTTAATTGTTATATATAGTGGTTGTTAGAATTCTTTCAAATATATCAATTCTCTTACTCAAACAAAATCAAAATCTAATTCATAGGCATGTGTTTTAATTGTTATAAAAGAGTTGCATAAGTAAAAATTGTTTAACAAAGTTGCATATACGCCCCTAAGACTAAGTGTTAAAAAGATAGAAGAAATCAAGATATTTGATCAATTTTTTTCATAAAATTGATTGAATGTAGGGATTGGCAAAAAAACCCGAATCCGATGGGAAAAACCGAAAACCGAATTAAACGGGGATGGAAAAAAATCGTTTATGCTGAACGAGGACGGGAACAGGGAAAAACCATTTATGCTAAACGGGGACGGGGACGGTAATCCCCGCCCCAATTACCAGATTACCCGACCCGATAAATATTAAAAATAATTATTATATATATATATATATAATATTAATAAATTTAATTTAAATTAAAAATATAAATAATATTTATATATTTAATTTAAATATATATATACCCGACCCGATACCCGTTTAAATAACCGTTTATGCTAAACGAGAATACCCGTTTCCCCGTGGTTTTCCCCGATTACCCGATGGGGATCCCCGTTTAAATCCCCGCGGTTTTTTAAGCGGGAACGGTTATGGGTTTTTTAAACGGGGACGGAGACGGGAGGATCAATACCCGGCCCGTTGCCATCCCTAATTGAACGTCGTTAAGGTCACACATGAATTATAACATACACAAAAATCATTTAGAGTTGTCACAATTATCTCAAACAAGTTATGCATTTATAACATGCTACTAATTTAGTGGTAAGGGTAGTTCGGTTATGCAAGGATATTTTCTTCCAACAATCTAATCTTATTAGTAATATGTTTTGTGTTAAAAAGATATTTGAACACATGAATTATGACATACGCAAAGATCATTTAGAGTCGTCACAATTATCTCAAACAAGTTATGCCTTTATAACATACTATAAATTTTGTTTTTGTGATATATTTTTCTGTCTTTATGGGAAGTTTATCGTTTTTTTCTCAGTCTTTTGATTATTCTTTTTATTTTTATGTTTTCTTAGAGTTGGATTTAAACATATCACAACTGATTAAGATGACGGTTATCTAAAATGTTGTAAATCTTCCTTACTATGAATTATCATATTGACTTTAGATATGTAATTTTGCGCTCATAGATAATTTCTTATGACGTTTGGCTTTGATTTGTAATTTTTAATAATCTTTTAATAGTTTGATTCTTTTTTATAGTTTGTTTTTCGATGCAATTAGATTTATTTGTGATATATTTTTCGTTGGAATCTTTTAGTTGAGTTTTAAAAAAAAAATCGTCCCAAGTATAATTTCGATC